TACCCTTTATCCTTATCGGAGGCTGTACCTCCAGTCCAGCCTTCTCACTCCAACCCATCGGAAATATGTGTCGGCTATCGAATCGCTGCTTTGTGTCGTACGCCTGATTCCATCCGTCGTATCCAATCGTGATCAAATCTCCAATCACCTCGACCACTGTCGCTGGACACGGTCGCCCGTTGAAGTTCTTGTAATCGACCGCTTCACACTTCTGACCCACTTTGAACATATTCGAGTCCGGATGGAAACGGTACGAGATCTAAACTCAAATTCTTCCTCATAATCTACGCTGAATCGGACAATTCCCCAACTCAATCCCATAAAGATCTAAATGTATCTAAACCCACTACCTGACTATTTGACAGAGTTCAAATAATATCTTCCTTCACCTGATCTTGCCCTCGAAACAATTTCTCTTCATCACATTACCCTTATGAAATACTCCACTCAACAATAATGCTATATCCATCCAAAATGTTTCTTCCAGAATCGCAAAAAAACCAAAAAACAAAAATTCTTACCGGAGCAAAACATTCGTCCGGGGCAATAACCGGCGTTCCATCCTTATCCGGTTTCAGTTGATTTTCGATGAATTTGTGATAGCTGGCAAGAGAGTACATGAACCCATAAGGTGGCTGCAGACCGATACCTTTCCGTTCGGCATCTCTACAACAATACAATACAAATACAAAAGTGAAACCTCTCAATAGTACTGCACTAATGACCCTCAACAATACTTATGATTCCTGGCTATCAAAGAAATAAAACTAAAACTCAAAATTGTTTTGCACAGAAAACAATTCAACAGCGAGAATGACCCATATCCCTTCCAAAGAGTATTCTCAAGCGATGTGATGTTATTATGTATATCTTATAACCATATAAATGTTTCATCTATATTCAATATTATCATTTATCATCACATAATCTAATTTACGATCTCACAAACGCAAACATTTTTAATAAACACCCCAAATCTCACCCAACAGGCCTTATCCGATCGTCATCACAGATCATCCATTGATCATTACTCGCATCTTCGCCATCCAATCGCGCACATATCCAAACCGAATGCACCGATACAACTGTTGCGATGCACTGCACGTCATTTCCTTTAATGCAATAATCCCACCTCATTATCTCCATCTCACACAAATTCTATCAAATCTTTTAATGCTCACTCCAGCATTTCATTTAACTCCTCATATACAATAACTCAATTTCCATTGCCGCATAATGTCAATTGTATCAATTATTCATTAACTCAATTGTATTTTCACGTTAGCCAATTTCAAATTCATTTACTCGAAGCTCAACCGCTTCATATTGAATTAAATTCTTTTGACAGTTACGGCTATGAACAATAGAATTCATATTTTGACTTTATCACAAATGTATTTTTCACTCTCAATTCACCAGCACATTCTCATTGTCAAATTGAAAACATCCGTAAAGTAGCCTTCAAGCAGCCTCATTCAATGCATCAGAACAAACCTCGTGGATCAGGCAGCTCGATTTTATGCCCTACTTCGAACTTATTTTCTGGGATTGTTGGATCCTGGAAGAAGTATTCGGGGGGAGCCGCTTCGGAATTTGTCTCTTGCAGATAGTCTGGCCATGAGAATGTCTCTGGGGCCGGTTGCGCCTTTAACGATAAATCACTTAATGATTCAATTCGATCACGGAGTAAATTCTGATTCTCTTGCAAGATTCTATTTCAATAGTTACGATCCTGCTTGCATTCGGAGTTCCGAATGTATTTTGAGAATCTCATTTCAAAAGCATTCGAAGATTATGTGAAGGCAATTTACGTAAAGGCATTCTAACTCTTTAAAAATGTTTTCATTTTTGTGCTATCTTCATTGCAAATTGCTATAGAACTGCACTTAATATGATAGTGTTCATCAGAAAATTCTGATTCTATTGTTGCAATCATTTCAAAATATAAAGAGATTAAAAAGATATATTTGGATAAGTATCTTCAATTGTCAGCTCACGAAGATTTCATTACAGTTTCCACTGTCAAGTTATAAAAGAGACTGTGAAATTTCAGTTCTTTCAGAACTATTTCATCATGTGTTCATATGAATAGGTTCTCAAAAATTCTTTTCATTCAAAACCTTTTTCGGTGATTTCGAATGGCCCGAAGCTGTCGTAGTAGTTGAGTTTGCTTGAGTTGTTCCTTCAGGATTCTTTACCGATGAACCACACGACATAGTTTCAGAAGGCTTGCTTACATTTTCATGCTCTTCATTCTAAAACAAAATTTTTCTAGACCATGAACTAATCTTACTTTCTGCTATGTTTAAATTGTATTGGCCGCAATACCAAATTGGATCTCCGAAATCCTCTGGCATGAAATTTATCATCAAAAAGGATTCAACGAAATCAATTATCTGCATTTGTCTCTCTAATAATCAGAAAGGTAAAGAGTTCCCGGATTTCAGCCCGATCTAAAATCAGCCCAATTAAGAGACCACTTACAGCTGATGAACACGGTGAGTTCGAGATCTTCTCATCAAAAATGATTAATCTCATTTCATCATCCATATCATCGTCCAATTTACTAGCTAGATTGTCTTGGCTGCTTGAATTCGCTATTGAATTATCAACGTTTGCACTGCTTGTGGTCACATTTGGATCATTATCCTTGCTGTCATTAGTGCTGTTTTGAGAAGGAATTTCGGATGCGGTTGTATTTGTTGCAAATGATATGGCATCCATTATAATCAGATATATGAACAATTATGATTTGTTTGTTTTCCTGAAATAATTTTGTGATCCAATATGATTTCATCATTTCAGTCGGTATACATATAGCGTTTACATTGTACACTTCATAATATTTGCATGTAATTTTTTGCATTTCGCGTGTATTTTCAGGTGAATCGTCTTCGATTTCCGTTTAGATATCAAAAATCCAATCGACGAATCATAAACTGATTCAAGCAAAACGTGGCAAAATTATTTGATTGCCGCCACGTTAGTGAATAACGCGATATAGAGCAACAATATGAATCGCGAGTACAGACATCTGAAAAGTTTTGGTGCATAGCGCCATATGAAGATCAATTGAATTTTTCTTAGATCATAAAAAAACTGAAAAAAATACTCTTTAAAAATGGAAAAAAACGTTCTCGACCATAAATTTCACGAATATGTAAATTAATTCGCGCTAATTTGAGCCAGTCCCCTGGAACGATTTGCCACATCTAATAAGAGCGTGTTGCTACCTCTGCTCATTTTGGCCAGTTTATCATTAGCTCACACAGGTTTACTGATAGTTCCATTTTCGGCTTTTACGATGAGAAATTCATCTCTGCTTACTAAATCAGTAATCCAAATTAGAATTCCATGAAGACAGATGATTCCCAACGCCATTATCGCTAGCTGCGGGTAAAGAGGAATGCCAACGAAGGAAGAATGTGATACTGGTACTAACAGAGGCATAAACTCGTGATGAGTTGGATTCGCTGATTAAATAAACATTTGATTTGATTACGCCTCGCAAAAATTGCAGATTCAATCGAATCATGCACACTACCTATTGCGTGAAATTCTCATCAAACTCTCCATATTCCAATGAAAACCCCCATAATAACACTGATTTTCTGATGAAACTTCCAAAATTGATTTCCAAAGCTTTATCGAATGCTTCAAATGTAATAAATACGTCCGTTCGTCAACAACCACGCATAAGTTTTATTGAACAAAAAAACATTGGTACAATAAAAATATAGAACTTTTCATTGTATCGATCACAAATATAACAACAACAACTCAACAACAGGCTAAAATCTCAACAAAACCAACTCACAAATGAACAAATTTTTGAGAATATTTCAAAGGATTTCGAGTAAATATCTGATCTAAACAATAAAAATAACAGTAACAATCAAACAATTATTACGTAGAAGAAATACTCTCAATCTGATAACAACAACAATAA